ACTAAAGAAAATAAACCAAAGTTTATAAAAAGATACAAATTTAACAGCATAACTATTTGAAGCTTTTTATAATTTTTCCTCCCTAATAGAATACCTTTTTGATAGTTTTATAGACAAATAAAATACCAACATTTGTTTTTTTTATTTTTTTAAATTTTTCTTTTTTTATAATTTTTGTTCAATATTTGGCTTTTGTTTTTAATTTTTCTTTTTTTATAAATAGTTTTTTTCTTTTTTTTTTTTTAGCTCACTTACAATACAATTAGACATACATTAGACGTACAAACTAAACTTAAAAATTACAAAACTATTTACAAATATTTTATTTATTTTGTTTTGTTTAATTCTTATACATATTTATTAGTTCATTCCTAATTTATTTATTTAGTTTAATTTTAAAAACTACAAATAAATTCTTTCAAAATTTCCACATGGTATTTAGTTAGATTTTTTTTAATGCATTCATCGGTTGACTAACCATTATTAGTAACTATTATTTGTTGTATTTATATATTATTTAAATATCTTTGTATGTATTTTCCTCTTATTATTATTTTTTTCAATATATTGTTTATTTATTATTTGTTATATTTTTCAGTTTTTGTATTATTTAGTAGTTAAATGTTAGTGATATTGACTGTTAATGGACGCTTAGGTTTATTGTTTATTTGTTTTTTGTATGTATTTGCTGTAGTTTTCTTAATTTTATTTAAATAAAATTGAAAATTTTCAATTAAGCAAGTAAAAAATTATATTAAGCAAAGTAAATATTAGGTAATTCTTAATTATAATAAAAATAGAAAATATTATGTAAATGAAAAAACATTAAAACTTATAAAAAATTTAAGAAGAAAAAAATAATTATTTTTAAAAAAACATAAAAAAATATTTAGTCAAATGTTTGTATTATTTACAAAATATATGTATGTAAATGTATGCAGTGTTGGTGTTTTATATAGAAATACAAGAAGTCCTTTAATTTTTTATACCCCACACCACTTTAGTGGGGAGGGTCGCAATTTTGAAGATAATTGGATGAAATTTGGTAAACACCAGGCATGAAACTTCTAAACGTTTGATAAGTAGCCCACATAGCAGTCATAGATCTAGTCTAGTCTATAATCTAGTCTATAGTCTAGTCTAGTCTATAGTCTAGTCTATAGTCTAGTCTATAATCTAGTCTATAGTCTAGTCTATAGTCTAGTCTATAGTCTAGTCTATAGTCTAGTCTATAGTCTAGTCTATAGTCTAGTCTATAGTCTAGTCTATAGTCTAGTCTATAGTCTAGTCTATAGTCTAGTCTATAGTCTAGTCTATAGTCTAGTCTATAGTCTAGTCTATAGTCTAGTCTATAGTCTAGTCTATAGTCTAGTCTATAGTCTAGTCTATAGTCTAGTCTATAGTCTAGTCTATAGTCTAGTCTATAGTCTAGTCTATAGTCTAGTCTATAGTCTAGTCTATAGTCTAGTCTATAGTCTAGTCTATAGTCTAGTCTATAGTCTAGTCTATAGTCTAGTCTATAGTCTAGTCTATAGTCTAGTCTATAGTCTAGTCTATAGTCTAGTCTATAGTCTAGTCTATAGTCTAGTCTATAGTCTAGTCTATAGTCTAGTCTATAGTCTAGTCTATAGTCTAGTCTATAGTCTAGTCTATAGTCTAGTCTATAGTCTAGTCTATAGTCTAGTCTATAGTCTAGTCTATAGTCTAGTCTATAGTCTAGTCTATAGTCTAGTCTATAGTCTAGTCTATAGTCTAGTCTATAGTCTAGTCTATAGTCTAGTCTATAGTCTAGTCTATAGTCTAGTCTATAGTCTAGTCTAGTCCTATAGTCTAGTCTATAGTCTAGTCTATAGTCTAGTCCTATAGTCCTAGTCTATAGTCTAGTCTTATAGTCTAGGTCTATAGTCTAGTCTATAGTCTAGTCTATAGTCTAGTCTATAGTCTAGTCTATAGTCTAGTCTATAGTCTTAGTCTATAGTCTAGTCTATAGTCTAGTCTATAGTCTAGTCTATAGTCTAGTCTATAGTCTAGTCTATTAGTCTAGTCTATAGAAGTCTAGTCTATAGTCTAGTCTATAGTCTAGTCTATAGTCTAGTCTATAGTCTAGTCTATAGTCTAGTCTATGTCTATCTATAGTCTAGTCTATCTAGTCTATTCTATAGTCTAGTCTATAGTCTAGTCTATAGTCTAGTCTATAGTCTAGTCTATAGTCTAGTCTATAGTCTAGTCTATAGTCTAGTCTATAGTCTAGTCTATAGTCTAGTCTATAGTCTAGTCTATAGTCTAGTCTATAGTCTAGTCTATAGTCTAGTCTATAGTCTAGTCTATAGTCTAGTCTATAGTCTAGTCTATAGTCTAGTCTATAGTCTAGTCTATAGTCTAGTCTATAGTCTAGTCTATAGTCTAGTCTATAGTCTAGTCTATAGTCTAGTCTATAGTCTAGTCTATAGTCTAGTCTATAGTCTAGTCTATAGTCTAGTCTATAGTCTAGTCTATAGTCTAGTCTATAGTCTAGTCTATAGTCTAGTCTATAGTCTAGTCTATAGTCTAGTCTATAGTCTAGTCTATAGTCTAGTCTATAGTCTAGTCTATAGTCTAGTCTATAGTCTAGGTTTTGATAGTAGTAGATTCGGAATAGTCGAATATAACAGTCTTGTTATTTCTTCTCTAAACGGTTTGCGAAAAGCTGAAATTATTTAAAGTGATGTTATCCAACTCAAGGGCAAAAACATCAAATCGGTTCAGACTTGAACTATTAGTCAGGTTTATCAACAATTTTAAAATCTGAACACAGGTAATGATTGAATGAAAACTTATGACGAAGTCTAGTATTCAGACTGCACGATAGATCGAAAACAGCTTCAACTGCATAAGGGCTCAGTAGTGACTTTTAGTCCCTCAATAAAGACCTCAGAAATCCTTAATTGCAAATACCACAAATATTGATTTACCATCTAATATTGATTATACAATTTATGGAAAAGTTGTTTCTCCATAAATCTATGAATCACTAAATCGAAAGATGAAAAGTATTATATCCGCTTCCTGTATTTCTTAAATATCAACCAACAACATTCAATATTTACATACAAATACATTTTCTTTCTTACACTCTCACTCTATCTTTTGCTTTATCAATCAATCTTTCAGATTTACACATACACAATCGTACTATACTCCAAACTATAATAAGGTATGGCTTTGGTGGTTCTAACTCTAACAAGTTTTTATACTTTTCTTCGGGCACTTGAAAATTTTGCAACAAATTTTCAAATACAATTTAGAATAATATTGTTTTACATTTTGTTTTCTTTAAATCCCTTTATGCATCAATAACTTAAGAATGAGGACACAATGAATGAATATATGTAAGGAATGGAATGAGGAAAATTATGAGGATGATGATGATGGGATTGAGATGTTATATGTAGATGATAAAGATGCTGATATTTGGGGAATGAATGCCGATGAAGAAAAAATCTTCTACAGGGATGAAGTTTGTCCTAGTATTCTTAAGTTATTTAAAGGTATTGACTTGTTAGAATTTATTGTCGCTGAAGATGACGTTGACGTCGTTGTCGTCGTCGTTGCTGTTGTTGTTGTCGTCATTGTCGCTGAGGCTTTTGTGGTCGATGCTAAAGATTCTTGTATATACTGGCATGTCGACGTCGACTGACGCTTAACCATCATCTGTGATGATTTGACAGCAATCCATTCATTACGAGCCGCATCGAACCATGTCAAGCCCAAGTTATAGCGACCATTTAGATTAGCATGTTGACAATGAGAGAACCACCACCCACCCTCATAGTTAGCAGCACAATGCGTTTGTGATATGTCACTAGTCTATAGTCTAGTCTATAGTCTAGTCTATAGTCTAGTCTATAGTCTAGTCTATAGTCTAGTCTATAGTCTAGTCTATAGTCTAGTCTATAGTCTAGTCTAGTCTAGTCTAGTCTAGTCTATAGTCTAGTCTATAGTCTAGTCTATAGTCTAGTCTATAGTCTAGTCTATAGTCTAGTCTATAGTCTAGTCTATAGTCTAGTCTATAGTCTAGTCTATAGTCTAGTCTATAGTCTAGTCTATAGTCTAGTCTATAGTCTAGTCTATAGTCAAGTCTATAGTCTAGTCTATAGTCTAGTCTATAGTCTAGTCTATAGTCTAGTCTATAGTCTAGTCTATAGTCTAGTCTATAGTCTAGTCTATAGTCTAGTCTATAGTCTAGTCTATAGTCTAGTCTATAGTCTAGTCTATAGTCTAGTCTAGTCTATAGTCTAGTCTATAGTCTAGTCTATAGTCTAGTCTATAGTCTAGTCTAGTCTAGTCTATAGTCTAGTCTATAGTCTAGTCTATAGTCTAGTCTATAGTCTAGTCTATAGTCTAGTCTATAGTCTAGTCTATAGTCTAGTCTATAGTCTAGTCTATAGTCTAGTCTATAGTCTAGTCTATAGTCTAGTCTATAGTCTAGTCTATAGTCTAGTCTATAGTCTAGTCTATAGTCTAGTCTATAGTCTAGTCTATAGTCTAGTCTATAGTCTAGTCTATAGTCTAGTCTATAGTCTAGTCTATAGTCTAGTCTATAGTCTAGTCTATAGTCTAGTCTATAGTCTAGTCTATAGTCTAGTCTATAGTCTAGTCTATAGTCTAGTCTATAGTCTAGTCTATAGTCTAGTCTATAGTCTAGTCTATAGTCTAGTCTATAGTCTAGTCTAGTCTATAGTCTAGTCTATAGTCTAGTCTATAGTCTAGTCTATAGTCTAGTCTATAGTCTAGTCTATAGTCTAGTCTATAGTCTAGTCTATAGTCTAGTCTATAGTCTAGTCTAGTCTAGTCTATAGTCTAGTCTATAGTCTAGTCTATAGTCTAGTCTATAGTCTAGTCTATAGTCTAGTCTATAGTCTAGTCTATAGTCTAGTCTATAGTCTAGTCTATAGTCTAGTCTATAGTCTAGTCTATAGTCTAGTCTATAGTCTAGTCTATAGTCTAGTCTATAGTCTAGGTTTTGATAGTAGTAGATTCGGAATAGTCGAATATAACAGTCTTGTTATTTCTTCTCTAAACGGTTTGCGAAAAGCTGAAATTATTTAAAGTGATGTTATCCAACTCAAGGGCAAAAACATCAAATCGGTTCAGACTTGAACTATTAGTCAGGTTTATCAACAATTTTAAAATCTGAACACAGGTAATGATTGAATGAAAACTTATGACGAAGTCTAGTATTCAGACTGCACGATAGATCGAAAACAGCTTCAACTGCATAAGGGCTCAGTAGTGACTTTTAGTCCCTCAATAAAGACCTCAGAAATCCTTAATTGCAAATACCACAAATATTGATTTACCATCTAATATTGATTATACAATTTATGGAAAAGTTGTTTCTCCATAAATCTATGAATCACTAAATCGAAAGATGAAAAGTATTATATCCGCTTCCTGTATTTCTTAAATATCAACCAACAACATTCAATATTTACATACAAATACATTTTCTTTCTTACACTCTCACTCTATCTTTTGCTTTATCAATCAATCTTTCAGATTTACACATACACAATCGTACTATACTCCAAACTATAATAAGGTATGGCTTTGGTGGTTCTAACTCTAACAAGTTTTTATACTTTTCTTCGGGCATTTGAAAATTTTGCAACAAATTTTCAAATACAATTTAGAATAATATTGTTTTACATTTTGTTTTCTTTAAATCCCTTTATGCATCAATAACTTAAGAATGAGGACACAATGAATGAATATATGTAAGGAATGGAATGAGGAAAATTATGAGGATGATGATGATGGGATTGAGATGTTATATGTAGATGATAAAGATGCTGATATTTGGGGAATGAATGCCGATGAAGAAAAAATCTTCTACAGGGATGAAGTTTGTCCTAGTATTCTTAAGTTATTTAAAGGTATTGACTTGTTAGAATTTATTGTCGCTGAAGATGACGTTGACGTCGTTGTCGTCGTCGTTGCTGTTGTTGTTGTCGTCATTGTCGCTGAGGCTTTTGTGGTCGATGCTAAAGATTCTTGTATATACTGGCATGTCGACGTCGACTGACGCTTAACCATCATCTGTGATGATTTGACAGCAATCCATTCATTACGAGCCGCATCGAACCATGTCAAGCCCAAGTTATAGCGACCATTTAGATTAGCATGTTGACAATGAGAGAACCACCACCCACCCTCATAGTTAGCAGCACAATGCGTTTGTGATATGTCACGATCTACATCGATGGCCGAAAATTGCATGCCCTGCTGATAGTCCAAGGCATCAGAGGCATTGCCGCTGTAGCCACCAATGTGCAAACGATAACCATCAGAGCGCGACGATATGTAAAATTGTGTATAGTCGGCCAGCCAGACATTGTCGTAAATGTCTTGCATGACCACCCGCAATCGTGTACAATTGTTTAGCGTCAAATGATGTAATTGCTCATTGCCCATCCAAAATTCACCGGCCGGTGAGCCAAAACCGTTAGCGTAATCCTCCCATGAACGATTGAAATCTGCACTGCCGTCATAACGTCTTTGTATTGTTGTCCAACCATCTGAGCTGCAGTGAGCCATCAACGGATGACGTTCGGCCGAAGGTGCTATAAGATAGAGACCACCATTCGCATTTGTGGCTGTGGGTGTCACTTCACTGCAATCCTTGGGTAGTTTTTCAATAATTGATTCAAATTGTGCTTCAACATTTTCCAATTTGGCAACTAAAGATTCAGCATTTTGTGTTGGTGTGCCGGTTGTTGTGGTTTGTTGTTCTTGTGTTGTGTATGATGTATTGTTATGATGATGTAAGAATTTCTAAAAGAGAAAAGAAAGAAGGAGACATGATTTTCGTATTAGTATTTGAACATTAGTCGAAATGCCTGTGGAATAAGTAAGTGTGAGAAAATTCCATTTTGGAGGCTTTTTTAAAATCATTTGAAATCAAAATGCAGTAAAACATTAAATTAAACATTTTGTTAAGCACACACCTAAAAGTATGCTTTAAAATTTACAAACTCTTTTTTTAAGCCTTAAGTTATACCGGTGAATTTTTACTAAGAAATTAGGCTTAACACTCATTTGAAATCAAAATGCAGTAAAACATTAAATTAAACATTTTGTTAAACACACACCTAAAATTATGCTTTAAATTTTACAAACTCTTTAAAGCCTTAAGTTAAATTTTTACTAAGAAAGTGTTTCCAAAAACAGAAACGAAAACATTTTTGAAAAATTCAATTTATATTTATTTATCTATGGTAGTTCCTGGAAAATGTTAGTAGATCTCAGGAGTAGCATACTTTTAGCCTTTAACTGTAAATTAAATCTTGCTTTTTGTTTTACATATTTTCTTTGAATTATAACCATTTAAAGGAACCATATAATTAATTACTTATTTTAGGTTTAAGCTAAAATTCCTCTTGAATAGTAATGGAAAAGTGTTTAAAACTGTAGCATACTTTGGGGATTTCACAAAACTCAGGAACAGTTATAAATTAAACGTTAAATTTAATAAATGTCAAAACTAACATGTGTGGTCGTTGTTTTTGGCAGTGATGAAGCTTATATTTAACTTAGTTTGAAATAAAAACTGAAAGTGAAAAATTACAATTTAAACAAATATTTGATTTTTAACAACATTTCATAAACATTTATTTATAATTAAAATTAAATTTTTTTTCGCAATTTTCTGATAAGAGTTTGAAAAAAGAAAAACTTTCATAAACTTTAATTGAATTGGCTTTAATTTTCACAAATATAACTAAACGCCTTAAAGTATGCTCTTATCACCATAGTATTTTGTTTGTAATTAAACTAAGGATTTTTCCACAGCAAGAGAAAATTAATGAATTTTTTTTTTCGTTTTTCTGTGTGAGTGTATGCTTAGATAAAACTGATTTATTGTTAAATGGTTTGATTTTAGGGGTTTTAAATAAATATTCTAAATGTATGAAAAAAAAGTAGAGAAAATTGCTTTTGAATAGTTTGTAAACTTTAAATTAAAATATACTTTTAGGGGTTTTTTGTGTTTTTTTTTCCATTTTTTGGTTTCATTTTAGCTATTAGAGTATTGCAGTAGAAATTGTCAGTTTTCATTGTAAATGTTGTAGTTGAAAAATGCAAAAATAATGGCATGTTATATTTTAACAAACAAATCATGTGTATGCAAACGTTGACACAACGTGACAGATTTCCAACAGAAATACAAAAAGAAATGTTAATAAAACAGCAACCTCATGTAGCTGAAAACAAAAACTTTTACGAAAAATCTCAATTTGAAATTTATTAGAATGGAAACAAAATCTGCCAAATAAAAAACAAAACACATACATACATATATATGTATAGAAAGAATATAGCATAGAAGTTACAAAATAAACAAAAAAATACTAGATATGCATGTATGTACAACAGCTATTTCCAGGAAATAGAATAGAAAACAAAAATGTTAACGTTTTGGGTAAATTTGTAATATTGTAGCTATTGTGGTGGAGGAAGTTTTTCCTTTTGTTTGCTGGATTTTTTTTGTCTATCAGGTATACTAGTCATTTATATGAAATCCTTTTTATTATACATACATATACATATTTACAATTCCTTGCTACACAGCATACATACATACCTTGTTATCCTTGTTGCCATAACCACGATGATGACGATGTTGTACAGCTCTTTGTACATCCTCAACCATTGTTTGCAAACGATCCAATTTTGTACGCATTTCACTAACGCCTGATTGCATACGCCGTATACCATCACGTTCATCCTGCAAAGTACTAACACTAACAGCCATTGCCTGCAGCGAACGTGCCACATTTTTACCCTCTTCACGCACCAAATTCTGTTCGGACATTAGCTGGGCATTGGCAAATTCCAATTTGGAGATTTCGTGACGTAATTCGGGTATATTTTTATCAACTTTAGTTTGAACATTCTCAACATCTTCGAGTAGCTCCAGCATAGATGAGTGTAACTTATCGAGTGAGGCTATCTGACGTGATAGATTAAAATTGGCATCTGCTATGCGATGTTGTTCAATTTCAATACTGCGTACACGTTCGGCAATACGATGATATTTCAATTCATTAAATTGACGTTTCAGTTGACGTTGTGACAATTGTAGTTCGTGAAGTTGTTGACGTTGAAAACGGCAGTGTCGTCTTCTGTGGTCAGCCAGTTGAGTGAGTGAAGATGTCTGTGGACAAAGAAAATAAAATGAAAATAAGCAATATGGAAATTTTGTTTTTTGGTTTGTTTTGCTTTGAGGGTTGAATATTAAAAGGGCAAATAGAGTGTTTATGCTAGAAAGTATGCTATATATTTATGAATTTTATTTTGACCACGAAACTAGGTTAAATAAATTTATATTAAAATTTTATTTTCTTTACAATACATTGAAAATTTTGTTATATATTTCCCTAAAATTTAATATTGAATTTTATAGTATACTTTAGGGATGTGTTAAAACATTTGAATATACAAAATTAAAGCATACTTTTTGGGAAAATACCCATATAATTTTAAAGCATACTTTAGGGCTTCTTTAGTTTAGTAAATTCAGTTCGAAATTTTGCTTAAATATCCAGTAAGAGTAAAACTTTAACATTTAAATGCATTTGTATTTCTCTGTAGTTTTCAGTTTTAATATTTTGATTTTTATTTATTTGTAGCCGTTTTATGGTTGACATACTTTTAACGCTTATACCATGGTAACTGGATCCCGTTGATATGCAATGACTTTATAATATTCTTTTATCTGTATTTTTAACAACAATACAAAAAATATGCATATATATTTTTTATAGTTTTTCCTTTCTTTAATACATAAGATCTTTTGTTTGTGAACTACGAAAACATATAATACAAAAGAATCTTTTTTGATGCAACAACATTTTTATTGATTTCACAATACATTTTATTGACAAGGTCTTCACAAAATGTATGAATGAAATCGCGTTATTTAAAGAATTGCTTTGTAGCTATTTTTTTTGTAAATATATCAGAAGGTTGACATGGAAAATAAATTGTTTTTCCGGTATTTATGGGACCTTCAAGTACATGTGAATTTCAATTATTGCTTGGGCTTTCACGAATTTTCATTTAAGTTTTATAAAAATTTCTCAAAGGATCTTTTGATGGAAATGCCACACATATTGTTAAGACTTTTGTCATCTGAATATCTGAAATATTTGTAGTTATTTTTCATTGTAACTAACAAAAGCGTGATTTTGGATAATATTGCAGCAAAACATTGAATATCGCAGCAAAATCATACATTGCAAGAAATTATCCTGCTCGCTTACAAATAAGGAGTTAAATAAGTCATTATCATACACGGCAGTTATGTAAGTTATTCTGTTATATTACAAATAGGGAGTCATCAGCTCTTTGAACTTATGTATGTTTGATTATACATATTTCTGAGCCTACTTCAAAGTAATGATGAAAGTAATAACTTGTTGAGAAAGTCATTACCAAGTTTTTGCTGGAAGAAGTCGCAATTCACCCTTAAATACTTGAAGTAAACAAATTTATAGCAAAATCCCGCAAACTGGTAATGCAGTCATATCAGGTTTTTACAGGTGTTCTTTTCCTCTTGTAATTGTTGATATATATTGGTACAATTTGCAATTGCCACAATTGAGTACAACAAACATACATGCCACAGTATTGTATCTACATACATACCTCACTATGCAAACAAACACAGACGCAATTTATTCATGCATTCATTCATTCATTCATTATTGTTACCTATTTGAATTTTATTTAAGATTTTTTCCAGTGATATTTTCATTTTGTTCATTTTTACGTGTACCAACATGAGCATTAGAGGTGCTCTTTACAAATGGAAATTAAAGTTTCTGAACATTTCTCTCCATAACTAATCCTAGTCTTGCAATAAATCCCTGAGGCATCAAAACTAAATCGATATTTTGTCGCATAATTGTGTTCGGGCAACAGGCCTATTTTTTTGGCTTAACATAGAGTAATAACAACCCACAACAGATCCTAAAGATATCGTGAAAATTTCACCGTTTGGTACTCGTAGTATTATCGAACCTTATTTCTTCAAAACATGAAGACGGAGCTCGCGTTACAATACTGTATTAAGATTGATTCTTTTGTTTGAAAATATCCGGGCAAGAAATCAATTTATTAAAATCAAAATTTGGCAATAACTTGATTTCGCCAATAATTTGTATACCCTACACTACTTTAGTATTATGCTTCCCCGGGGGCATGTCTTGATGAAAGATCCCGTCTTGGTAGGATTGCAACCCCGGGGAAACGAGTTGCTTCCAGTACCTCTAGTCTGCCGGGACTATAAACTTGTGTTGATCAAATGTAACCTTGGCCTTTCTTGGAATGACATGACATGGGATCGAACCAGAGGACCACATAATCTGGTACCATTGGAACCGGTAAACTGCAGGTCAGAGTTTCGGACTTTGTCTTGTCCCGGTTATAGGAGAGTTCCCTTTCGGGTGCAAGTGGTGGCTGTGGTTTAAACCCAAATTCGCGATAAGAAAATGTCGGTTAAAAGACTGATGCACGGAAAAGTCTATAATTCGGGATAAGATACCCCACAGAGTAGTGACTGTATCATAAAAGATATACCTACCGTGAGTGTGTCAGATGTTGTTCTCTATGGCTGAGTCGGATGAATGAGAAGTGTGCTCTTTACAAATACCCTACAACACTTTAGTATAATGCTTCCCCCGAGGGCATGTTACCATGATGAAAGACCCTATGTTGGTGTGACTACAACCCTGGGGAAAAGAGCTGATACCAGTTCCTCTAGTCTGCCGGGACTATAAACTAGTGATGATCAAATGTATCCTCGATCTTTCCTTGGAATGACATGACATGGGGTCGAATCAGAGAACCACATAATCTGGTACCATTGGAACCGGTAGACAGCAGGGCAAATTTTCGGACTTTGTCTTGTCCCGTTTATTGGAGAGGTCGCTTTCGGGTGCAAGTGGTGGCTATGGTTTAAGACCAAATTTGCGGGAAGGGAATGTCAGTTAAAAGACTGATGCACGGTGAAACTTTTAATTCGAGAAGTTCGGTGATATTGCCGAAGTCAACAGATACCCCGCATAGTAGTGACTGTGGAACTAAGCGTTAGAAATGAGTTGGTGTTAAGTTTTTATGATATAGGATGAATGTAGGGGTATACCGGTCTTTCTCCGCTCGTTTAACTAGAGTGTATCGGATGCTATTCTCTATGGGTGTGTATAATGAATGAGAAGTGATGCCATTGAATTTTGGTTCCTTGTCCAGCTACGTTCAGGGAAAGCTCTATTCATACCAGGTTTACCACTATGTGTTATCTGCATTCTCTGTGGATTTTTATACGTCTTTATGTGCTGATGCCGACTTAACAGAGACCATACAATTTGCATCGCGGAAGTTAAACAACGGGATAGCAATGGATCAGAGATTAGATAGCTCCAATACTTGAGCAAAGTGTCAATATGTTCATGTTCCGGCACAACCATATACAAAAATTACCACCTGCGTGTTAGATACACAATGAGCCGGAGGTGAGTAGCCAAAGAAAGTCAGCATATGGATGAAAAAGACCACAAGGCAGTTGTTCAAGTAAAGCTCTTCGACATCATTAGTTTTATGCGTTTATGCTGATATTTGTAACACCCAAAAATAATGATCCCACCTTAAATTACATCAATCAGGTTAGAATCACTATGTCCCAAAGGCGAACCCTATAGATTTTATTTGATATCGGTCCATTATTTCACCTAGCCCCTCAATTGAGCTTTGAAGTTTACAATTTTTTCGAACCTCATTTAGTCCTCGCTTCCATACAAAGTCCCCTCAGAGAATGTCTAGAATGTCGTTAATTTCCTAATAAAAACTTTGGAATAGATAATCTCGGCTTAATATAGGATTTGAAAGAATTGTAAAAATAATACCCCCCTAATATCAATCCATTCACATGTTTGTTTTTATGTCTGCATATATGTAAACTTTTTTTTTCGTTTGTCTTTTAACAAATTAATGGTATTCTATTGTATTGTCATTCGTTGACATATTCAGATCATTAATATTATTGTTAGTGTTTTTTCCATTATATGTTTCACTCACATTTTGCAGTTGTTTTTATTTAAAGTCAACCGATTTTTTTAAGCAGTTTGTTTTTTTTAACTGACATTTATGCAGCAGTATTTAACAATATATATTTTATATATAGAAGAGTAGTGCTTATATCTGAAGTATGTAGATTTTTTTGTCCCCCGTTCAGCATTTGCATTTGACTTTAGTTTTTGCGCAGTGTACAAATACTATTGTTGTTTATTTTTATTTATCAGGGGATATAAATCAGTTGTGGATGTTGATGAAGGCGATTGTGTGTATGAAAAAAAATATATATATGTATATTTGCAAATAAAACATTTATAAATACTCATGCATACATGCGTTTTTTTGTATGTATATAAAACATATTTGATTTTTAGTTTAAATACGCCATAAATTGAAGATTTTATGAGAATTATCAATAAAACTGTATGCCAGTTGATTACGCAAAGTATTGTGTAAAATTTTATTAGGTCACCACGTTATTATTGTAAATGTTGCGGTTTTTTTTTTTTATATGTCAGCCCACAACTATGCTACATAATCAAAAATATGTTTATTGCATTGTTGAAATCTAATCACATTTTAAATTGCATTTGTGTAGTTATATTTGGAAAAATGCTTAAATTCTAAATAGAAATGCCATAAACTAAAATATATGTACATAATGCTGGAGGTGTTATTTTGAAATTTATTGTTCACCTAAAAGCATGCTGTGATTTTTGTTTTTTTAGCTGAAACCAGTGTCCGTTAAAGCAAGATAAGTTGCTGTGCTGTTGTCACTTGTTTGTGGCATGCTAGTGATGCAAATGACTTTAATGTGAAAGAGAATTTATTTATTTATTCTCTTTAAGGGAAAGCAGTTCACCCGTGCAAAAAATAATGATTATATTTGTAAAATAAACTATATTCCGGCAGGACATTTTATGGATTCATTTAAATCAGGGACCGACTTAAACTCGTTTCAATAGTTTTCGCTTCTGGCCATGTGATTCGTATTACGACAGTTATTTTGCAAATAGCTGCAATAATAGGTAGAACTGAAGAAATGGGACCGTCCATTGAAGGACATTTTTAAAGGTGCTTTTA